ATGAGCCAGCACGGTGGCCACAGCATGAGCCACCACGGCTCCCCCGCCTCATCCCACCCGTGCCAGCTGCCCTTTTCCTTACTTCAGCACCTCCTCTCGACACTGCTTCTGCGGGGCAAAGCAAGCAATCGCCCAGACTTTGATCTCAATGCCGTTGTAGAACTGCTTCCCTCGCATGTCCCACACGCCTTGGTTGGGAGTTGCAATGGCCCGGTTCTGCAAGGCAAACAGACGGTCAGAGCGCTGCCGCGTCCCGCCCGGTCCCGCGCCGGCAGCCCCTGGAGAGCACCTGCACATGCCGTGGTTCTGCTCCCCATCACCAAGCCACACGTGCCGTGGTTCTGCTCCCCATCACAAAACCACACGTGCCATGGTTCTGGCTCCCCATCACAAAACCACACGTGCCGGAGTTGCAATGGCCCGGTTCTGCAAGGCAAACAGACGGTCAGAGCGCTGCCGCGTCCCGCCCGGTCCCGCGCCGGCAGCCCCTGGAGAGCACCTGCACATGCCGTGGTTCTGCTCCCCATCACAAAGCCACACGTGCCGTGGTTCTGCTCCCCATCACAAAGCCACACGCCCTCGCCACAGCCCTGCACCGCCAGGCTCTGCCGTGACGCGTGGTGATGGGCAACTCCACCTCAGCTTCTCAAAGGTGATGGAAAATTCACCCGAGCTGCTGTACCCTCAGCATTCCTCTCCCCTTCAGCTCACTGTTTTGTCACTGAATGACACTTGGTTACACTTTCAGAACAGTTATACTGCAAAAAAACCCCCAAAAAACCCAAACCCGAGGAGCTCTGATAAAAAATTCCAGCTCTAACCTACAAACCTGAAGGCAGCACAAGTTTTGGTCAATAACAGTGTTTGCTGTTCAGTAACTGTTTGCATCTCTCTGCACGAGGCAGCCCAGTGCCCGGGCAGCGCAGCCCTGCTTACCCTGCCTCCGTACTGCAGGATGGGCGCTGGCAGGACCCTCCCCGTCACCTCTGTCATGTCATCCTTCACCTTGATCCCAAACTCCTGAATGTAGGGATCCAGGTTGTAGCTGGCGTTCTTCATCTGCAGAGGGAAGGAAGGGCCATGGGAGGGAGTGAGACCAACTGCTGCATCCCACACAGCTTCAGCTGGCTCGGAAACACGGGCACCTAAAGTCCTGTTCTCTGCAGAGCTCAAGTCCTTTCTGCAAGGGGAGGGCAGGTGATTTAACACAAAGGGCCAAACCCTGAACTCCAAACTGCCCCAAAGGGCACCTGATTTTTGAACAGATTGACCAATGCAACTGAGAGCAGAGCCTGCATCTGTGATTTAAGGCTTCAACTGGAAGGTTCAGACTGGCAAGAGACTCTTATCAAGAGTCCCAGAGGAATATCAAATGTCCTCAGCTTCACAAGCCCAGAGACACCCATTTGGGTAACAGCAGCACCATTAACCAGCTCCTGCCCGGCCACTGGCAGAGCCGGGTTTGCCGTTCCCCTGGCTCACCCCAGGCTGATCCCCAGACAGAGTCCCCATCCCACAGCCCCACAACACCCAGTCCCCACGTACACCCAGTGCTAGGGTCATTTATCTCATTTGTTTTCCTATTTTTAGTTCCAGCTCCCTTTGGCTCAGGTTCCATCAGCACAAGGACCTGAATTTGCTGCACACGAGTTTCCACGGTCACTTTGAGCTGGGCAAGTGTCCGTTAAACACAGGCAGACATCCCTGACCGGGGATTCAGTGAGACCAGGGGGATAAAACCAAGTCATTAACCCCACCAGCATCTTCTGAGCAGGTCACAGCTCTCCAGCACAGAGCAGCT